AATTACAGGATTTACACAAAGGGTGGCGTTGAAAAATTTTCCGCCCCTTAGGGGGGCAGCAGCTTCAAAAAGGTTGAGAATCACTGCTCTAAACTCTCTCCTCTTTATTAGGGGCACAGCAGAGAGTGAGAGAGCCATTTAAGGTACATTCTATGCAATTAACACTTTTTGCCCCCTGAGTGCTACGCTTTCTAGAGGGTTTCCTTTCCTGGTTTAATACAAAGTAGAACCGAAACATACATGAAACATTTTGCAGTGCATGGAATGCCAACCTGCGAGCCAGTCATACTTGCCCTTCCACCATACCCCATTCTATCCCCCCTCCCCATCAGTTTCTTTTTTCCTGTTGAATTACTCAGTCTTCTTTGGACTGTTTTGTGATTCTTGTTATCCAAATAATTGTTTTTTGTATTTCTGGGAACCTCTGAGTTTTCCCAAACCATCTAATATCCCATCTTCTTGTGTGCCACAGAACTTATGCCTGAAAATCAGAATACGCTCACAATTCTACTTACAACTGCTTCCATTTCATCAAAACAATGAGCCACTCATTCTATATCCCTAATTTAAGATACTTCAAATTGCAAAATTCAGCCCCTACTGCACCTCCTAGCTGTATATTTTAGACACTAGATGGTAAGTTCCATTATTTCCCAAATCACCGTGCAATGATAACGCACAACTCAAGTTAGAACACAGACCTAAGCACATGTATCAGGTGTTAAATCTCATAAACATTAATAACATTATGAGTAAAAATGTGGTAAGAATGGGGCACAATCTTCATTGAACGATCTCCATATCACCTTCTCCCACATAGAGCTGATCCTCAACTTCTTCTTCAGGAAAAGAGAAATTAAGTAGACGGATATCAGTGGAAGAACCTTTTCACTGTTGGCACCAACCACATTTGTTATGGTTATTTCCATACGAGATTAAGTTCTGCTTATTCTTCCGTGGCTTTTAAGACTGTACTGTAGATGAATTAAAGGTTGTTTTTAACCTATTACGATCATTTTCCTCTTGCCAACCTAAATTTGATTTTCTCTGCTGCCAGCAAGAAATATTCAATGGCAATTTGCTGCTTTTGATTACAGTATTTTATTAATTTATGGTTTGGGATTGCCTAGAGAATATTGTTACTATTTCACTTACATTAGCATAGTACCTAATACAAAGCCACCAGTCACAAAGACAAATAAATGCCATTGACCTACATTTCTATTACAAACAATTTGCATAATATCTAGATGCAGAGAGAAATGCCGCCAGAGTCGTGATTAATTGACTAGTTTTACTTTCTTTGACCACAGACATTCCCTCAGCACTATCAATGAAGATTTTAGAAAATTAAATAATAGACACTGTAATTCCAAATAATAAAACATTGCCCTATAAATATCACAACTGAGGCAGAACAATACTTGCAATCTCAATACCTCTCAAATACTGAAGCCAACATACATTGGTCACATCTTCACGCTTAGTAAGGACTCATTCAGGCACATCATATTTTGCACCTCCCCTGCCTCCCCCCGGGCCCAAAGCATATCAGAGAAACATCCCTACCTGTTTCATCCGGGGAACTCAGAGAAGCGCTGTCCTGAGACAATGTGGTCCAGCTGGAGTCTTCATCACTTGGAGCCAGGTTCTGAATCCTGTGCAGTGCACAATCTGTCTTGGCACCAGTTTTAGGATGATCCTTTTTGGTCTCTGGACTCGATGAGATGGTTGCTACCGGTCCATCTTTGGGACTTGCTGCCTTGTTTTGCTTTCGAGGCAAGGCATCTCCGTTAACCATCACGGTAGATGCTTGGCTGTTGCATTGTGAAGGTAATTTCTCCTCCCCGGCCACTTGGCCGTCCCCATAATTCTGATCAACCTCCCTGGCTGATGTCTCAAGATCTGCATAGTAATTTAGGAAGCTCTTGGTTCTTCGGTGTTGCGATGGCAGGATCTCACCACTGGAAGAATCCTGCTGGCTTAGCTCCTTCCCCTCCAACTTCTCAGAAGTTATGTTTAGGCCTGCAGTCACTGTAGGAGCAGCAAGGTTTTTATTGGGATCCTGCTGCCCTTGCTCTGCTGCTTTTCTAAGCTGGTTTTCTCCATTTTTCACCAGCTTTATGTTGGAGGAATTGCTGCCCAGCAAAGGTTGGGCTGCAGGGTCAGAAAGACCCATGGCTGTCTGAATGTTGGTCAGGGCATATTTTTTCCTGCATTTGGGAGGCGTGCTATTCTTGACTTCCGTGTGCTTGATTTCGGCATTCAGCAGTTCGTTGTGGGAGGAGCGCAGGTGTAGGGTGTTGGGGGGAGTGGCAGGCCCATTCCGATTCACAACATCTGACGTGCCGTTACTTGCCATAAACCCTGCCAAGGTTTCCACACCGGAATCAACTAGGGAAGAAACACAAATACCTGTGTGAGAGAAGATTCTTCATCTTCTGCGCAGGCCTAAATAGAGATAAAGGGCTTAACAGGCTCAATGAGAAGACCTCTGCTTCGTGGTGTTTGACTGCGACCAGGTAATGCTAATCTTCCCAGCAGCCGAGTGGGAGAGTTAAAGTATTTATACATCTGATGCGGAGAAAAAACACCGCTACAAACTTCTAGGGGTTTCTTTCTTTTTTTCTTTACGGCAGGCCTCCGGTTCTGCATTATAACAGAATCAAGGCAAATGTGGAAAACTCAGGGGTAAAGAACAAAAAATAATACCACACCAGGCAACACGTTTAGTGCCACGAAGAGCACGAGGAGCCTGCAGACTTTTGTCAAAAACTGTGAAAGCAGCTTTCTACTACTGGAAGGCAAGCTCCGCCCCTCTGGGACATGTGTGCAACATCACCATGTGTATGTAAAAAGGGCCGAGCTTGCTTTGCAATGGGGCAACGCTGCTTTTGTCATCTGCCTCTCCTGTAGACCTCTCTGGATTAAGGCCATCTTGCCCAACAACTCCTTTCAAAAAACCAGGCACCAACCAGGTGCCTCTGAGAAGATCACAAGCAAGACATGACATAAGAGCTTGCCCTAAAGCTGTTGATCCTCAGGGATCGGGTATCCAGAAGTATACCATCCCTGATCATGAGTAGATACAACTATCTACTCTTCGCTGATAATAAGCGTTACTCCATCTTCCCACAATGGCCATAATTCCCTTTCAAAGCAGTTGAGACTAGTAGCCGCCTACGTATTTAAGTATGATCGCATAACCCAGCAGAGATGCCAGCGTCTTAAAAGCCGATGCTATAAAAACAACAAAAGTGAGACCTACTTTTCCAAACAGACACTGGGCAACTGCCAGAGATCCAACATGAATCATAGTTTGTCTGTATGATTTCTGCAGGGAGGGACAACCTTTGTGGCCCCAAGGAAGGCAACCCTCAAACTAGCTTCTAATGCATCTGAGCAGGCTTACTGCATTATCTGCAAACACACGACCCCTTCTTCCCAGCTGAGGTATGGGCTGCTGGGTGGTGGAAGCAGCAAAAATTAGCTTCCCACTTGTAAGCTGACTCTACTTCTCAAATACATCTCCATCTTTCCTACAAGCTCACCATGGAAAAATGCTAGACCGCTTATGGTAGTGTTGTCCAAACTTGGCCACTTTAAGATGAGTGGATGGGGAATTCTGGGA